CTCTGCACTCGTCTATCAGGCGAAGTTCCCGTCCTCTGCTGCACTTTCTAATTGTGAACTCGTTAGTTTCGACCTACAGACTAATAGGCAACATTGTTTTCTCTGTGATATCTCCAGAGTCCAACAGAAATACAGAGATTTTTGGCGGCAGCCGCAGAACAACAGTCCGCATCTTTCAGTTCCATGGACCTCAGTCCGAAAGCCATTGACCTGGCCAAGAAACCTCGCCGTCGAAGGTACTACAGTCCCGCTGTATCTTGTCAACAGCCGTTTTCATTTCTGGCCTTCAGCGTTTTTTTATATATGGAAACATTTTGTGCCACTTTTTATCTTATTATTACTCAAATCTACTCAACCGCCCTAATAATTAAAAGTGCCTTATACTTATTTTGTTAATTTTAGCTTTACTGCTTAGAAGATCACACTTTGGCAATCAGCATACTCTATCAACATTAATGGATTTCAAACGGTACAGTAGGCTGAGCGGATAAGTTGACCCAATCGGGATTCAACTTACGGCTCCCAGCAGCGGGTATCGTAGCTCAGTTGGCTAAAGCATTGGCTGCAGGGATTCCTTATCAGCATCACCAGAGTAACAAAAACACCCAAAATTTTATACTACGGGATTGGAGGTTATAAGGCTTATATGAGTGGGGCATATCATAAGATGAAAAATAAAAAAAATCGAGCGTATAGAAGCAGTGAATTATAGATCCAATTATTTAAATAACCTAATATATAACATTGGAAAAAAACGCGTGTTAATTAAAAAGTAAACAAAAAAGTAAGTATAAGCAATTCGAAGGCAATGGAGTAAACCACCGCGGCAGGAATAAGAGCAAATCAGGAGCCAATGGGAAGTACAACCAATAAGAAAAAAGAACTGAGCAAAACACCCGCGAATTGGGCACAATTAGTTGACTCACAATCGTATATCGATTCTTTATCGAATTTTCGAGATAAACATAAAACCATGACCTATAGGCTTTTTCCCCGTTCTTTTTTAAATTCACAGTAGCTCATAATGCATCTGGACAGATATTGTAGTACAGTGAGCCGAAAAAAATCACATATCACTAAAGATTTCCATGTGGTGAGTGCAATGCAATATATTGAAAACGGAAGCCAAAGGGACAGGTTAATGTTTATAAGGAACTATTACCTTCCGTTTTTTGCTTGCAGTGATGGCTCCGACGCGCTACACAAATCCCAGAGAGTCATTGACAGAATGTCAACCTCCACCACAGAAACCCCCGATCTGTCCTCGCAGTCCAAATTTCTGCACTTCTCTGCACTGCCCGCCTCTTTTGACGATTCCCTGTCTGAAAAATCTTCTCTCACGCTCACAGACTCCACAGCAAAAGTCAGTTCCAGGGATGAACACCTGGCCTCCCGGCTGACTGTCCGACCTGCCTTCTCCGTAGATCAGGACTTTCTGGCTGAGCAGTGGGAGCTGTCCCCGCTGAATCACCAACGTAGTCTCGCCCTACGGAGGCATACCGTACAGGGCTACAAAATTAACCAAATGTTCAAAGCCCACGAAACCACCAAGTCCATTACTCAGCTTGTGCACCTGAGTATAGCTTCTGCTAGTCATGATCAGGACGAGAGCTCCGAGAGCTCTGACAGTGACGAAATTGACCCCTCTATTTCGGAGCTGGACGACAACCTGCTACCAGTCCCCGCATTCGACGAGACGATTCGGCATGACCAGGAGCGAACACTGCAGCCGGCTGCCCATTTCAAGCTAAACCTTCCACTGGTTAAGCCGCCATCCAGCCGAGGCAGCTCCCAGCAACAACGGCAGTCTCCCATGAAAGAAAGAGCTACGCCGGTGGGGGCAGCTAATGAGTGGATGAATTTGAGGGACCACCGTCGCGCAAGACAGACCGACAGAAAGGTCCCCGGAAAGGAGACCACACGCGCCGAGGTGTTAGAGAGATGCAAACTGCCCCCTATTATGCGAGACTTGTTGAAACCGGGCCAGCGGAAGTCAGCACCCCATTGGTGGACTTCTGATTGGTTGGAGGG